AGCAATCTTTTCACAAAGGAATTGTAGATTTCTCCACCGTATTCCCCCTCGCAGTCACATTCTCTGTCCATGGTAACCATCATATTTCCCTTGTGAAACTTAGGTCATGTGACACACTTGCTCAATTGTTAGAGGAAGGAAAACAGACATTGACAGCACTTTGATGTCCCTCTCATCTCCTGCCGTAAACAAAGGCATCCCTACCGGACTGTGTTCCCAATGTGTATCACATTCCTAAAAACCAGTGAAAACTTGAGTGGAAAGTTTAACTAAGACAATGAGGAGAAGTGCGATTGTGAGAACTTTCCTACTCCGTGCGATCAATTATCACGCAAGGGATGAGGGACATGTATCACACATTTGTGACACAGGAGTTTGGTGATTTACACAACACAGTAAACTTAAGGCTAGATCCCTATCCATAAATTCATGGTAAAGAGATGGCCGGCGAGAACTTTAAAGACAAAGTTATCTCTGTCCAAGCTAAACTGCACGCTCCACTATGGGTCGCACTGTCAGATGCCCCACAAATTCTCATATTGGTAGTCTACAGGTCACAAAGGATTGTCTGTGATATGACAAGCTACGCAAAATCGCTTTAAACTTGTCTTATGGCACTGCTTATTAGGTCGAGGTATGGAGAAGTGCATCTCCTCACAACTCGTCTCCTATGCTGGTCAGCATGGTCTGCTGTAGAGTAACACCACTTTCTTTTATACCCTGCGAGTGCCCCGAAATCTAGTTCCCAATGTGATATCATAGGATTTTAGCCACGCTACCCCCCTTTAGTTATGTGAAAGACTAGCAAGGGTCGAGTATTAAAGGATCAATCCCATGTCAAGTTACCTGACTCAGCAAAACCCACATGCGACACGAGCAAACCAATCTCTGGACAAAAAGGCACCACAAGAGGTGTAATTGATTACTTTGAAATGTTGCAGCAAAAAACCAGGTTGGATTCCAGGTAGTTGAATTTTAAGATTTCTTCACGAATGTTGGTTCACTATCGGCCATCAACCGACCTCAGACAGTGCTTCATGGATAGGCATTTCTGCGGCAGAGCATATGGAAAATGCTACCCAACTACCATTAGCCTATGCACCAACCTCGTGCACACTAAGGCATCTTCGAAGCCATCATGCCCGAGGTGAGGATCTTTAATTCGCCCATCCCCAAAGAAGAATTCTTGGCACTTTAAAGTTCCTTCAACTTGACAAATAACTGGATAGTCTCTTTGGCTGCACTTCTCACTTCCCTTTTAATAGCATGGCCTAATCAACTGCTGCTGACCTTGCTGCCGATTGCAAGACTCATAGAGTTCAGAAAGTGAGGGCGCCATCCCGTGTTATACTGACTGGAGCAACACAACACATACAAGACAAGCTCAAACCACCTCGCAACCCAAAAGCACCACAGATGGAGTATTTGATTACCATGAATGGTGAACCCTTTGGCGTCTGCAAAGCCAAGGAGATCTTTAACAGTTAACTGGATGGGCTCTTCAGCCCCAGTAAATATTTCTCTTTTGACAGTACGGCTTTTCGGTTGTATGCAGGCTACCTCGTACCCCAATTAGTGGGTGATAGCAAATCATAGGACTCAATTGCACGACTTGCAGTGATGTGAGAGATGATGCTCAGTCTTTCGCAATATCCTCAGTCACTAGAGTGCATAAAGCTCAAAAGTTGGCAAATCAGTTACAGCGCAAACACCAATTTAAATCTACAAGTTCGCAATAACCGGAACATTTGGCGGGCAATCAGTGTGAATTTACTAAAAATTCATGCGCAAGTAAAATGTGAAATGTACGGGAGCACCAGATTTGTGAGAAGGGGAAAGAAGGAAAGTGGGGTTACATTTTGTGGAATCTGTTTGGGTCTGCAAGAAGCCTTAGCACGACCTCCGCTTCTTTTCTGATCTAGCAAATTTTATACCTAAAGGTGCAAATGAATTCGCACACTATTTTTCTTCTGGTCTTCAGCTAAAAGTTGGTAGAATCCCCGAAATTCCGCATCAAGTCCATTTTTATTGCTACTGAAATGAGTGTCTCAGTGGGGTGGAATGATAATCTACTTGAAGTGTCAATGTGCCACCTAATGCTTCTCAAAAGGGGGGCACCAGCACTTCCTCAACAACTGAGTAATACCAGTGAATGCATTTAGAATGCATCAGTGTGCATCCGGAACTTCCATACGTGTAGTTTTCGACCAACGGTGACGATGGTGGACATGGAACAAGCATCCAAAACAATGTATACCACTGAGCTCAGGGAGAAATAGAATAGAAGTAAGGCAGATGCAAACCTTTCGGCCTCATGATGAAAAAGAGTTACAGGTGAACAATGGTGTGGCAACACCGCCAAAAGAGATGTTTCTATCATCACACTTCCACTGATTTTAATAAATGCGAATGGTAGGTGCAACAACCATCGTGAAGTGTCATGATAAATTGTTAGGCTTTGAAAGTCCTACCGAACATCAGCAGGTTTTTGCATAACCAGTATGACGTGAACAGAGCAAACAAACATCAGTCTGGGGTTAGGCTAGAGTGAACTGGGAGAGAGAGTGCGTAGTGGGTGGGTTGTACCTGAGAGATTGCTTTAGCGCAGGGAATGGAAACGTGGAAGTGTTACTTAAAGTGCATAACTAGTAGAGGCAGTGAAATTACTGCAATGCA